ATAAAGATATCAAATCAATATCAAGCACAAAAGCTTGCAAATATATCAAATCTAATAAATCTTATTGATTTTACCAAACTTTCTATCAAATATTTCTATTGATTCTTCAACTATGTCTTTTAAATCTTTCAAAGATTATAGAGTTTTATGAACAAATAAATTCAATCTATTAACAAAACTATTAATAAATCTATCAATATAAGATCTTTTTTATACTTTATTTACTTTTCACTTTGGATTCAAATAAGAGTATTAAAAAACAGTTCCTATCAAACTTCGATTGTGATAATACTAAAATTCTGTTTTTAATATATATTAGTATATATATAATGTATACATGTAATATAAAAATATTAAGAGTTCTAGCCCCAGATTGTTATATACTAATCGAAACACATCAAAACCTACTTTTTATTCAACTTTTAATCTAATCTTCATTTCAATGATTGTATAAATTAAGCCGATAAAATCGGTATATAAAGCTGAGAAATATCTAAATAATTTGAAGAACAGATAAAAGTTTTTTCAAAATTTCAAAGTCGAAGTTATAGCTTTTCAAAAGAAAAATTACCAAAATTCTCAAATAGTCGATTATGGACTGATTAAAGAATTACAAAAAAAAACAAATATGATTTAATTACTCCTATGGTATAAATATTGGGATCTTTTACTTTTGTATCTTTTAAATTCAAATTTACTAGTTATAAAATCTATATTATATGATTTATTTCAAAACTAAAAATTTCAATCTATAATAATTACAATCTAAAAGATATTTAGAAAAAAACTTATAGGCACTATAGAAACATTCTAATGTAAATAATTTAAAATATTTTTTATAACTAGAAACTAATTAAATAACTAAGAAGTATAAATAATTTATAGATAAAAATTAGATACAAATATTTATTGAAAATATTTAATGAATCGGTAATTAAAAACAACCAATCATTAAAATAAAACTCAAGTAGGTAAATAAAAGGTAAAGATCTATAGATTTATAGATTTATTATTATATTAATTACTATTAAAATCTTAGGTAAATTACTTTGTTTAAACTAATATACAAATCATCATTGTAAAAACTTAAGATTTTTGAATAACTTGAAAAATCATATTTCGATAGAATAAGTCAAAGGGCATAATATAAAATAAAATAATTGGTTTACTTGAGGTTCTATGAATGGAGAATGTCTTTTTTATATATATAGATGGATAAAATTATATATTATATATTATATATATATATTAAAAACATAACCTTAATCTTTCTTTTCAAGTTCATTTATAAGATTTCTTTAAATCAGTAGAATCTATAATACTTTAAGCTGATTATTTAAATGACTAAAAAAGGGGATTAAAATAATGTGATTCATTACCGAATGGATTAGATTACTGAATGGATTACTCAGTTTATATACAAAATTCGTTTGTATGTAACTGTACACTTTCTTTATTTGTTAATATAATTTAATTTCTTTCTTTAAATATTATAATTATCTATATAAACAATATAAATTTCTAATCAATTATTAGACTTAATATAATAGTTATTATAAAAATAGTGTTTTTTATAACGAAAACTGTGACAATTTCAATTGTTTTTGGAATATAATCAAAATATTTATATTTCAGGATATAATATGAGTGAGAATCGATTGATATTGAGAGAAAAATTAATACTTAATATACTAATCTTACAATCTATGATTAATATGATTTTAATAATTTCAATATGAGGAATTTATGAATATATGGAAAGAGATAGTTTTATGAGTCAAAGACCTTTCTATGTTTATTTTCTATAATAATGTAGTATATTATAATAGAGATACTCATTCAATTAAAAATCAAACCAAACTTTTGAAAAAAACATTAAAAAAATTAAAACCCTGAATATTACTGAGTTTTATTTTATTTAAAGATTTATTATTAGATACTTTTACGAGATTTATTATTAGTAGTATCAGATTTCTTAGATTTCTTAGATTTTCAAGTGACTTTAAACATAACAATATTTTATTTTATATGCTTAAATAAAAGATTAAGTTAAGAGGATAATCTCAATTGTGAATATAACATTATAATTCGATCTACAAAATATTCACATTCTTTGATTCTTCAAGAATTCTTCACTATGCTTGAAACAATATTCAATCATTTTCCATCATTCTCAATCTTTTAATGATTCCTAAATTATTAAATATTAATATAACCCCTTGTTCATACGTTTAGCATCTTTCAAATCATACAATGTAAATATTAATTCCTGTGAACATTCAAAATTTCCACAAAAAGTTTTAGAAACTGTTACTTTTACTTATAAACGATCCAGAGAATGGTCATTAAATACTCATAAGATACAAGTAAATTACAATCAATATTATTGATCTACATGAACGATTGATTAGTCAGTAAAATACAATTTAACTCGAGTTCGTATAATGAATTAGTTGAGATCAACATCTTCAATTCTTCCTATAAATATTAAAATCAAACTCTGCCTTTTTTCCAAATACTCTATTATCTCACAGCCATTGAAAATGTTAGGAAGTATAGATCTTTAGTATTTCTATATCAAGTCCAGTATAGACAGCTTATAACATTTGATACAATTGAAAAAAAGTCTTCGAAATGCCTAAAAAGCTTGATTAGAGTTTCGAAGCGTCGTATCCTCCTGTTGTGAATATTATATTTCGTAGCCATAATCCCGAACATTATCATTTCACATATCAATTATTGGTTATCCCTCGAAATATCTATTTAGTTCGAAACTAGCAACTTTAGTATTTCAATCTTTACTTTATGATATAATGTTATCATTGTAGTTTTAGAATCAAGATATTTATTCTTAGCATCAAACATTCAAAATCTACTTATCTTAGAAATGTAAAAATAACATCCATCGATTTTCAGACTAGGATATCATTTCTTCTTGATATTATGAAAAGAGTCACAAATCTCAAAAAATTCGAAATTTTTGGAAAAAGCTCAATTTCTTGTATGCAAACTTCAACCCAAAGTATCATTGTTTTGTTTTGGAGCTGGAATGGCAATATTCATAAAATGAATTAATACAAATTGGTACATGTCAGACCTCAAATAATGTTCAATACTAGTTGAGGTATTAACACATATAACGTTAACTTTCGTAGTAGTTATCATCGTGTATTTTATAACGCATTTGGTGTTTCCAACAACATTCATTAGAACCAGTATACAGAACACAATAATTATTACTTCAACATACAAAAAATCAATTTCGGCAGTTTATTGTAGATATTCGAGCAGTGAAATAGTCAAGTAGCGTTAATGAAACTTGAAATTTGGTGATCCGCGTCTCGTAACAAGATAACTCAGTATCATTTATTATCCTCAATATAACATAAGGTTCACAGAGTATACTTCTCTTTACTATTACCATACAATGAAGGTTTGGATTACTCGATCAAGATAAAAGAACGTAAATTAAACTCCTCCTTTCCTGAGGTCCAGGAGTAACTCCTAAATCCTGTCGATTTCGAAAAGATTGAAACCCAGCCTAGCTCTCAACACAATAACAAGAACACGTAGGTTCTTGTTTGTACGAGAAGGATACGGAAGACGTAGCACCCACAATGTGTAGGTCCTAATTGTCTAATTGTATTCTGTCTAAAGAGCTAGCTATGTACAGGAGGTAGTAGGCCTTATATATAGACCTGATGGAAGAGCTAGTCTCTTCTTTATTCGCTTAAGGCTTTGTTACAGTAGCCTTACTACAGTGGTAATTGAATGGAAGTCATTCACTTTGTTCACACAGTTCTACTCCTTATAAGAGTATACATATAATGTATAGCACATATCATATCTAATCATACATCATGACTGATAGCCCTTCAACTTCCACTCATCCCATCAAGTGATATATCGAACGAAGTCCTATCATCCTTCCCTTTCCACTCTGTACTCAGTCAACTCATATTTTATATATCCCGAATGACAATTTGAAAATGCTCAACCTTACTAGCCTCTTCAAGACTCTAATCCTGCCTCTCCCTCTGTAGAGAGAAAACTAGTTCGAGGGGAGAATATCCAGAACGCTGAACAAAGACTTCATAATCGGTTAAATCCAGACCTGATATTTGGAAGACGTAGTTGGAGATATACCGGTAGGCCCCAGATATAAAAACAAATGACATTAGAGGCTACAGTATCCTGTGGAATGATAAATCCCCAAGACAAGCTTGTCCAGTGTAGAACAAAGTATGAAGGTGCCAATCACCCAACCGAAACACAGTGCCTTCGTCACAAGCTAAATTCAAGTTCTCTTCACGTGTATGTCGGACAACAGAGCGGCTCGAGGACAATCAAACAACCGGGCACGAGAAAGTCATCCGCTGCTCTGAAGCAGAGATATATATCGTTCCAACGAGAAATTAGGGTCACCGGTGAAGGTCACATCTATGACCAGAAATGGTAAAGCGGGAGGATTGTGAAGTTGAATGAGATATGGTAGATCAGACGACACTCACGTAAACATCATTTCAAATTGAAACAGTATCACTGTACGATATGGCGGTATTCCGACAGTGTCAATTTCGTGTACCAGTAGTATGGAGATTTACATACTATTATCTCAAGAGAAGAAATGATACAAAGCAACTGGGAACATACAAGTTCATGTAGTAGCCAGAGGACCTGATGAAGTTGATCTCGTACTATTGGAGAACTCAGATGAACGTACTAAATACCATCGTATTATTCGAGAACATCAGTTGCCATCAAGGCAAACAAGGATGATGAAGCCAAAATAGCAAGGTGAGCTCTACGGAGGGCATAAAATGGAAGAAGGCGGTGACGCGAGGTGTGTGGGAAAGGAAGAAAAGTGGTACCACCCAAGGATGGCGCGTCGCCCGAATTTAGTGCCAAGCAACAACAACAACACCGAAAGACGCGTACAGAAAAACAATCACGAGTTGGAACAGATATATAAAGATCAAGAATCGTGTGTTGATGGTTTTGATTATCTCATGGACCAACCATGCCGGAATACCCCAATATCCTTATGATACAATAAACACCTGAAAGCAAAGACCCATTTCCGTAACACACCCATCTTCCGACACAACAAGTCGAGGAAGAAAATTCATAATAGACGTAGAAAAGAACCGTAAATATGCAACCGTTTAACCACCGAAACCGTAGAGAGTACGTCCTTGGCGCTTGAGTGCGTAGACAACGTCGAGGGATGTGACAGTCTTTCTCTTGGCGTGCTCAGTGTATGTGACAGCGTCGCGGATAACACCCTCCAAGAAGCTCTTCAGAACACCACGGGTCTCCTCGTAGATCACTAAGTGAAAATGTTAGATGTATATTCGTGTGACGAGATGTGCGAAGTGGTAACTTACTGGCTGAGATACGCTTGACACCACCACGACGTGCGAGACGTCTAATAGCAGGCTTAGTTATGCCTTGGATGTTGTCTCTCAAAATCTTGCGATGACGCTTAGCACCACCCTTTCCGAGACCCTTGCCACCCTTTCCGCCTGTGAAGAAGACGCGTTAGTGAATTGAACGCGATGAGAGGAAGGAATGAATCCAATTGAATGGAGGTGAGGTAAGGCAAGGACAGGGAAGATACTTACGTCCAGTCATGATGAATGTGGGTTATTAAAAGAAGATTGTGTTTGGGGTATTGGTATTTGGTTGCTTGGAAATTTGGAATGGCGTTGTGGAATAGAATATGGAGATAATAAGAATCGATATGTGGGAAGAAGTTCTGTAGTTCTTATCAAAAGATGCACTAAGGCCCCTTCCGCATCACCACGCTAAGTCAAAAACACGCTAACACCAATCGGTTCAACATCAACAACAGGCCAGAGCAAGCTTGGTAAGCATGAGCTGAAATTATGATTGGTTGGACGGAGAAAGCAAGAATACCGGATTAATTGATTAATGCAATAAGGCTGTGAAATTAGGTAGAACCGTAGAACCGTAGAAGTTAGAACCCAATGGGCAGGTGCTTGGTTACGGATGAGGAAAGGGTTTTATGCTTCACGGGGTCGGTAGGGTCGATAGGTACAGTCATATGTGTGTATTGATACCAGCTAGATAGGTGATAGGTGATAGGTAGACCATAGAAGACAGAGAAGAGGAGCACAGGAGTATATTCACAAAGCATTCGAGGGTGGATGAGGAAACGCAATTCAGTTCCATGCAGATTGAGTCATTGCTGAGATGGGCACATTAGGTTGAAACTTGGAGGTGAGCATTTGCCGGCAGGATGAAACCAGTAGCATCTAGTCGTAGTATCTAGTCGTAGTATCCAGCAGCAGTAACGTCCATTTGCCTTTGATTGCATAGGACAGCAAATCCATATCCAAATTCAAATTCAAATGCCATGCCACCACACAACACCCAAAACCTAATACCTGTTCCCATCCCTCAATCCTTCTTTCGGATCTTTCCCCAGTATATTCACATTCCGGTTGCACTTGACTGGGTAGTTGCATAATGAGATCCTTGTTTTCCAAATCAATCCACTTTGTACCGCTTTAAAAAATGCAAGTTGAATTCTCATTGGTCAGTTTACTCGAAAAAACAAAAGTTCTTTTTTCAAACGATTTGAACAACTCAAAGCTCCTTCCTTTCCCACAGATTACACTAGCGTGTTTTTTTCCACAAAAGCACAGCCAAATCAATCACTCACTAGCGTGCTTTCGGATACAAATAATCGCCATCGCCCATTTCTATCTCTTTTCTTCTACATCATACAACCACCACTTCAATATCCACTTCATCAATTTCATCAATCCACAACAACCATAAAAGAACTTCATCAAATTATCCATTAGAAGTATCAACAATGGCTCGTACCAAGCAAACTGCCCGTAAGTTATTATCCCCATCCTCTCCATTCCCTTTCAATCATTGCATCTTTGTCGCGTCGGTCGCAATGTATCACGTTTGCGACCGATCGTCACTTGCAACAACGCGACTCCTCCACTTTGCCACAACAACAGCACTACTTGAACATCATTGCTAATACTTCATAGGTAAATCCACTGGTGGTAAGGCACCAAGAAAGCAACTTGCTTCCAAGGCTGCCCGTAAGAGCGCCCCTTCTACCGGAGGTGTCAAGAAGCCCCACAGGTAATTACTCACTTGCTATCTATTGCTCCAACAACCACTAATTCCCTTCAGATATAAGCCAGGAACTGTCGCTCTCCGTGAGATCCGTCGTTACCAAAAGTCGACTGAGCTCTTGATCCGAAAGCTCCCTTTCCAACGTCTCGTTCGTGAAATCGCTCAAGATTTCAAGTCCGACCTCCGTTTCCAATCTTCCGCCATCGGTGCTCTCCAAGAGTCCGTTGAGGCTTACCTCGTCTCCCTCTTCGAAGACACCAACTTGTGTGCCATCCACGCCAAGCGTGTCACCATCCAATCTAAGGATATCCAACTCGCCCGTCGTCTCCGTGGTGAGCGTGGTTAAATTTGGTTTCTTTTTTGACTTCTCGATGTCTTCAGCTTGAAAGCGCTTCGGCTTTAGGTCGATTGACACTGGCGATGGATCGGGGTGGATGATAATGCTTTGGGGGTATCTTACAAGGGTTTTACGGCATGGAGTTCATTTTCATTTTATGGGGGACCTGCGTTCTTACAGGCTGTACATTATTCAGCCAGCGATGGTGCGCTGAGCTAATGACAACAGATAACAATCACGATTAGTTATCAATCTTTCAAACATATCCTCTTTTCTATTACTGTGAATATTGTGACATAGACTACATTGTTTGAAGTGACACCCCCCACCCAGAGATAGCTGCAATGGTGACCAAAGTGAATGCGCTCTAGGATGGACTGCGCGTACCCGAACCAAACTAGTGGCTGATCTTTAAGCCCTCAAACGTGTTGCCTTTTCCTTTTTGTTTTGAATGTCACTTCTTGCATGTACACTACTTTCCCACATGGTCGACAATCATGGATATCCATCTGTGGATGTACGCCCTTGGAACTCACCCCTCGAATTGACTATTTACTATCTATCCCATTCTAGCTCTTACTTCCTCTATATCCGCAATTCTACCTGCTGGTAGATGATACCCATCGCAAACCAGACATGCTCCAAATGTTACATACAGCTACATAGCAGCACCTTTCCTCATGCAATGTCAATAAAATGGCCTCAACGCTAACACCCACTCAGAATTTCGCCCTCTTCTTCCCTCACTACTCCCCACATGACTTGTGTGCTTTTTCACCTCTACCGTCATAGCTACTATGAACTGCTGACCAAATAGTCATCAAGATATTTGAAAGCTTGAAGCTATCATTTATCCCATGATTCATCACCCTTGATACAATTGTTGCTGTCTCAGATTAGCGGCGTCAAGCAATCTTATTTCTTTGCAACTTTGTAAAGCGCAATCATCTTAGTGTGAAATGTTTAGCTGTACCCTATCTCTTTGGATTGTACCTATCAATTTCGCAACCGGTTTCCAAACCATTTGGAAAGCAAAGGACCTATGGCTTGCTTCAGACACCATGTTAGATGTTTTTGTCGAAGACTTGGGAGCATGTGATGTATCTGTTGCTCCTCCCTCATTCTCCCTCGTCTCATTGCCAGACAGCTCGTATTCGATCAGTTCTGGCATCGCTACAAACCTATGAGATTGCTCCGCCCATCTTCTTAAGTCATCATTTTAAGGCTTGAAAGTTCATAACGTTTCTGTTTCCCTGCTACTGTGAACAGCAATTCAATCATTTCCATTGCAGGCGTGTATCAAGAGAACGATCGTCATATACGCAGAACTTCCTAAAATACCACTCCTACTCGTGCGAAGAGCCTCTCCAGATTTCTACACCAAAACCTCCATGATATCCACACCACGAATGTGCATAAGACAACTTTGTGATTTATCTCTATCTTCTGGAACTCCGAAAGAATTGAATTTGACAGAAGTAAATGAATTGAGGTAGAAGATGCATTTGGTAATAACAACGCCATTAATAAATTTATCACTTTGAATAGATCAAACGTATTTAATCTATGCACCTTCAATGCTCCTCGAGGACGCCAATCGTACGTTACTGTTCTCCTCCTCCATTGGAGAGTAGCGGCGAAAGGCACTATCTCAGGAATGACACGCTGCAGAGCCTGCTCCTCCAAACATACGCCACACATTCACAATCTCCTAGAAAAAATCATCACTCCACCCTCGCGTATGGACCTCACAAGCAAGGCAAGCTTTGAGGGAATCTTTGCATTTATGAGAATTTGGGTATCCGAAACTGAAAGAAGTGTGATTATATTTCGAACAGTGAGCATGAGAAGAGGTTTTGAATTGTGAGTCATTGAGAAACGAAAGACGATACCGTTTAAGTATGGAGCAGTTTCTGGAGATTGAAGAAGCAGTGGAGGTAAGGAACATTGATGAATAATTCACCAAGACGCGTCAAAGAGTCTACATTAAAGGTTAGGTTCGTCGGTGTCCCATGTAGGCAGTTACGGTCGTTGTTCAAGAAGAAAGAATACATTTTGGTGAATCTTTCTTTTCCACACAGAAAAAGTATAAACGCAATTTATAAAACCCAAAGCATGCCCCAGAAAGTTCAGATAGTAATAGTACCAAACATCGCGTTGAGTTGGTATGAAATACTGCTTCTCCAACTGGCCTGAAGTAACAGCACGGATGCGGTGCCGCTTTTGAGCCAGCCCTACGCCTTACAAGAAGGCTATTTTACTTCAATCTCAAGTACAGCCATTTTTAATCAGCAACATCAACAGCACCAACAGGGCTGCCTCTTCAAAATGAAGTTCAATATTGAGTATGTGTTTGTTAACCCGACAGGAAAAAGTGTTATTTGAACTGATAGATGAACCAGTGATTTGCCAGTGCTCTTTCCATATCCTAGGATATATCCAGGTAGGCATCCAAGATGATTTTGATACTGAGTCCAAATTCTGATTTGTTACTTAGAACAATATGCGTATGTTATTTCGCTTGGCTGTAGTTTACACCAGAAAGAACGTTCGATGCTAATGTATGATGTTATATCAGCTATATGTGCGATCTGAAAAGTATTTTGCCCCTTGCCTTCTCACCGTAAGATCATCCGTTGCTGATATGTTTGACAGGAACCCTTGATGCCGGCGGCCATTGTGTTTTGGAGATGCCTTCGGGTACTGGAAAGACTATCTCACTGCTGTCTTTGATCGTTGCGTATCAACAATACTACCCAGAGCATCGGAAACTCATTTACTGCTCACGTGATACAGCCCGGTCCTGAAGATGAAGGAGACATACTAATGAGTGCTTAGGTACTATGTCCGAAATTGAAAAAGCGTTGGCAGAATTGAAAGCTCTTATGAAATATAGGGCGGAACAACTCGGGCACCAGGAAGATTTCCGTGGCTTGGGATTGACTAGTCGTAAAAATTTATGTCTTCATCCTTCTGTGAAGCGGGAGAAGAGTGGTGCTGTTGTGGATGCTCGCTGTCGAAGTTTGACTGCTGGATTTGTGAAAGAGAAGAAGGAGAGGGGTGAAGATGTACCGGTGTGCATTTATCATGATGTAGGTTTTTTTTCGTTGCCATGTTGATCCGCATTGTATTGACGCATATATAATAGAACCTGGACCTCCTCGAACCACATAATCTTATACCAAATGGAGTATGGACGTTAGATGGGATAATGAGATATGGCGAGGAACACAAACAATGCCCATACTTTACCTCCAGGCGAATGGTGAGTGGTAATGCCTTTGCAGCTTCAGTAACTAATGAAACTAGATGTCCTTCTGCAACGTGATAATTTACTCGTACCATTACTTACTCGACCCCAAGATTGCCGAGAGGGTTTCTAAAGAGCTGTCAAAGGATTGCATAGTTGTATTTGACGAAGCACACAATATTGATAACGTGTGCATCGAATCTTTAAGTACTGATATCACAGATGACTCGCTTCGAAGGGCCACTCGAGGAGCAATGAATCTCGAAAGCAGGATTTCAGACTTGAGGGATAGCGATTCAGAAAAACTCAAGGATGAATACGCCAAGTTGGTCGAGGGACTACGCGGTGCTGACGAAGCTCGAGCAGAAGATGCCTTCATGTCAAATCCTGGTTCGTTTGTATTCTATCTCACATCAAAATGCATAGTTACTCACATCTTTCTAGCTTTACCAGATGATCTCCTCAAGGAAGCTGTCCCGGGAAATATTCGGAGAGCTGAGCATTTTGTCGTTTTTCTGAAACGCTTTATCGAATACCTCAAGGTAAGTAAAGCTATAGCCATATCAAAAAGCTAGCGGCTAATCTTAAGAAGACACGAATGAAAGTCCGGCAAGTTATTTCGGAGACACCGGCATCTTTCTTGGCTCATCTAAAAGAGTACACATACATCGAGAAGAAGCCACTTAGATTTTGCGCAGAACGTCTAACATCTCTTGTGCGGACTTTGGAACTTACCAATATTGAGGACTATCAGCCACTTCAGGAAGTTGCAACTTTTGCCACCCTCGTAGCGACATATGAAAAGGGATTTCTTCTTATACTTGAGCCTTATGAGTCTGATACCGCCGAAGTTCCCAATCCTGTTCTCCACTTCACCTGTCTTGATGCCGCAATAGCAATTAAGCCCGTCTTTGAGCGTTTCAGCTCCGTAATCATCACGTCAGGTACTATTTCTCCACTCGAAATGTATCCTAAAATGCTCAATTTCGAGTGTGTTGTTCAGGAGTCTTACCCTATGACTCTCGCTCGACGCTCTTTTTTGCCTATGATTGTCACAAGAGGATCTGACCAGGTTGCGATATCTTCGGGCTTCCAAGTTCGAAATGAGCCTGCTGTTGTCCGTAATTACGGCAATTTACTAACAGAGATGTCTAAGCTCACTCCGGATGGCATGGTCGTTTTCTTCCCATCCTACTTATACATGGAGTCGATTATTAGTATGTGGCAAGGAATGGGTATTTTAGATGAGGTTTGGAAATACAAGCTTATTCTCGTGGAAACTCCTGATGCACAAGAAACATCTCTAGCACTAGAGACCTATCGCACGGCGTGCTGTAACGGACGAGGAGCTATCCTTCTGTGTGTCGCTCGTGGAAAAGTCAGTGAGGGTATCGATTTCGACCACCAATACGGACGCACTGTGCTATGTATTGGAGTACCTTTCCAGTATACCGAATCTCGAATTTTGAAAGCTCGACTAGAGTTCCTCCGCGAAACATACCGGATCAGAGAGAATGACTTCCTATCCTTCGATGCCATGAGACATGCAGCCCAATGTTTGGGACGTGTACTCAGAGGGAAAGATGATTACGGAATCATGGTGTTGGCCGATCGTCGATTCTTGAAGAAACGAACTCAATTGCCAAAATGGATCAACCAGGCGATTCTCGATAGTGAAGTCAATTTGAGTACGGACATGGCGGTAGGAAGTGCGAAGAAATTTTTACGGAATATGGCACAGCCATTCAAGGCCAAGGATCAGGAGGGAATCAGTACGTGGAGCTTGCAGGATCTGGAGAAATTCAAGGAGAAGCAATATGAAGAGACGCTTCAAGCATTGAGAGGTGGTGGAAAGGGCGACCCAATGGATGTCATCAAGAATGGCAACGAGCAAACAGTTAGAGAAGATGAGTATGGCATGGATGATGATGAAATGGAGGCGTCGTTGATGCAGTTAGATGCGTAGGTAGACTATGATGGATAGTCATCTATTGACGTCTAGGAAAGGATATACATCATAATTGTAAGATAGCAACGGCGGCTTTGTGGCCCAAGAATGGAAAATAAATTGGTTCATTTGGTATCTAATTCTGGGGTAGGACTCTAATAATAAAAAGGTATAACCACCGCCATTACTTCTAATTCATACTCTTCGCCACAGTCCAAAAGCTGTCCATTTTTGACCTTGTCAAGGCATCTCGAGCTGCACTATCTGTCTCGCACACCTTACTTTGCCACTTCCTGAATGCTCTAGACTTCTGCTCTCCTTCCCAGACCAATTGGCATTTGTTCAGCGTCATATCCTTCAACTCTCCTTTCTCATCTTCTGCCTTCAACCAATCTTGCAATGTGTCTGCTTTTGTACCCTCCTTGATTCGTGTGGGCGAGTTTTCAGTCCAGTCTATTCGTTGCATCATAAGCTTTTTATATTGCCTGATACTATGCTCGCCACCCTCGACAACTACCAAATTGAATCTTGGATGTAGAATACAGATGCCTGTGAGAGCATGCTGTTCTGCGTTTTTGGCGATTTTGAATCTGTGACTACCATTCGCAAGGCTCCCAATCTTAAATACTAAAGCATGAATGCCCTTTGCGGCATCCTTCTCCTGATTTGCAGCCAATTTCTCGTGTCTCTGTTCTTTTGTCAACTTTCGATCTTGGTTCGTCTCGACATGTTTCTGGTGTCGATCTGCAATTTCTCGGTTGACACGAGCTTCGACTGCGGTTGGATCCTTGACAGCTTCTTCTCCCAATACACGCATAAGATTTCCCTTCTTGACCTTTGGAGGCGGTGCGGGCTCTAATCCAAGTCTAATCTTTGCTTGCTGTTCCTTCAATTCAGCCATTCGACGCTGTCTCCGTAGTTTAGCTTGCTCTTTCGCTGTCAGGAACATAGGCTTAGGCGCAGGCGCATTCTTTTCTTGAGGCGGTTCAAGTAGAACGGGATGCTGAACATATTCTGTAATAATTGAGTCTGGGGTGCCGATTTTGAGTGTCTTTGGATTCGAAATATCGTCATAATTCTTGCCATCTACTAGGCCTTCATCCCACCATTCGATCTCTGGAGGTGCTTCAACAAGGAATTTCTTCTCGGTATCGATATCCTCGTCAATACCAATCTTTCGCGAAGACTCGGCGATACGCTTTTTCATAGCCTCTAGGGCGGCCTGTCTTCGAAGTGCATTTGCTTGCGCTATATACTTCCCCTTCTGGTTGAAAACTAGTTGTCTCGAGTGTCGGTTCTTTGGCGTTGCTGTTTGCCCACCTAGGCTTATGTCAAAGTATGGATTGTTGCGGATCTCTTCCGTCGAAGGCCCCGAAATGTCGAGTTGTTTCCTAGGCTTCGCTGTCGCCTTTTCTTGTTGAGGGCGAGCATTTCCGATGCTGGTTGCGAACTTGGGCGCAGTTGATTTTGAGGGCTTGTATTGTCCAAGGTCTTGTAGTGCTGGGTGAAGATCGACATTCAAACCTCCTTTCGCAAGCATAGGATGTAAACCGACATTTAACCCACCCTTTGCCTTGCTACCACCGACTGCAGCTGCGACTCTAGCTTTCAAAGATGCGAGCTTCTCGGCAGCAGACTCTGGCTTGCCAACACGGCTGGAGGAATCATGTCGAGGTGCCAAAATTGGAGAGGCTTTCCCTCGATCCATGTTGTCGAAATTATATGTTTGTCAATTGTGTATTGGAGAAGAGATATATGGCGCACATACACCAAATTGGTGATCCTGAAGTATTGTAATCGTTAAGTGCTCACACGCGAATTATGAGGAAGCTCTGGCTGGCCGTACCAAAAACCTAGAACTTTAGTCGGCACGTGATCAACAAATGGGGGTTATCGTGCTGCCTTATCAGCACCGGGGGTCGGCGAAAAAAAAGTTTCCCCGACGAAACGAACTTTTTTTTGTATCTACATTGAAGCTTCAACTTGCGAACTCTACGGAATCGCAAATTTCCAATCTAATCAAACAACCTATGGCAGTATTCCTGCTTTAGCGTTAACTGCCAATCACAATGAATATCTCACAGCCAGTTCCGTCGGCCATTGAGAGCGTTGACTTTGCATTTCTTTCTACGGCTGAGATTAAATCTCTCTCTGTGAAGAGGATAGAGAATCCTGTTACTTTTGACAGTCTTCTTCACCCAGTTCCAGGAGGTCTTTATGATCCAGCTTTAGGCGCATGGGGTGACAACAAGTAAGCAATGTGTCCATTCAATTGCATAGAATACTAACATTAGAAAGCTGCACAACATGTAATCTCAGTTCCTTTTCCTGCCCGGGTCATGCAGGCCATATTGATCTACCTGCACCCGTTTACCACCCAACTTTTATGGACCAAGTTTTGCGATTATTGCGATCAAAATGCAAGTATTGCCATCAGTTTAGAATGTCGCGCAAGGAGGTCAATCGATATGTTTGCAAGTTGCGCCTGATTCAACAGGGCCTGCTGAGCGCCGCCGAGGAGATTGAAAATATCGAAGTTGCTCAGCCAAAGGAAGGAGAAGAGCCTGCTAGTGATTCCGATGACGAGTCTCCCGTCGACAGTGTTATTCGAAGACGACTTGCATTTGTCAAAAAGGAGCTCAAAGCCGCTAAGGCCTCTGGATGGGAATGGAGAAGGGAAAAGCATGAAGGTGTGGCTGAAGCACGCCGAGTTGTAGTTAAGAGCTTTATGAAAGCAATAACTGCAGGAAGGCTATGTGGAAACTGTCAAGGTATATCTCCAACTTACCGCAAGGACCGATATGTAAAGATTTTCGAAAAGTCTTTGAGTGTCAAAGATAAGGCCAAGATGGCTCAAGGCAGCTATCGAGCTGTGAATGCCGTTCAATTGGTTCACGGCGAGAAGAAAGATAGGGATGGCGACGAAGGCATTGCAGATATCGACTTGGAATCCAACGAGGATGAGGATGAAGGCGAGGGCGAAAGCCTTGATGTGGATGGGGATGTGGTCATGGACGGTTCCGCGACTCCAAGCTCTAAACCCCGAGTCGCACCACTACCACAGCGATATGTTGATGCCATGGAAGTCAAGGCATCGTTGACATTGCTGTTCGAAAAAGAGCAAGAGATTCTGTCCCTTGTTTACAATTCCCGATCATCTGCCAAGAAGCCATCCGCGGTTAAAGCAGATATGTTCTTTCTACAAACACTTCTCGTCCCTCCAAATAGATACCGGCCCGAAGCGAAGACAGGCGATGGCGAAATTGCCGAAGCGCAACAAAATTCGCTGTACAAGCAGATTTTGAAGAGTGCTGATACTGTGAACCAAATCTACCTCGATATCCAGAATCCCGATAGGCCGTCGCAAAGCCAAACATTGAGAAAGAGAGATTTCTTTGATCTCCAAGAAGCGTGTTGTTCAATGCAGGACGCTGTCAACTCCTTGATTGATAGAGATCGAAATCCCATCCAAGGTGCAGCTGGAAAGAAGAACGAAGATGGTATCAAGCAAAAATTGGAGAAAAAGGAGGGTCTTTTCAGAAAGAATATGATGGGTAAACGTGTCAACTTTGCTGCTCGTTCCGTCATCTCCCCAGATCCAAATATCGAAACAAACGAAATCGGTGTTCCTCCTGTTTTCGCCAAGAAGCTCACATACCCAGAACCTGTCACAAGTCACAACTTCAAGGAAATGCAGCAAGCAGTTATCAATGGTGTCGACAAATGGCCCGGTGCTGCTGCAATTGAAAACGAGAACGGGCAAGTCATCAATCTACGCTCAAAGACACAGGACGAAAGAATGGCTCTAGCGAATCAGCTGCTTGCATCGTCCAGTAACGGAGCTAGCGGTGCTCGCAACAAGAAAGTTTATCGACATCTTACCAACGGAGATGTTGTGCTCATGAATCGTCAACCAACTCTGCACAAGCCCTCGATTATGGGTCACAGAGCCAGAGTACTTCCAGGAGAGAAGACAATTCGCATGCACTACGCCAACTGTAATACTTACAACGCTGATTTCGATGGAGACGAAATGAACATGCATTTCCCACAAACAGAAGTTGCTCGCGCAGAAGCGCTACAGATTGCTGATACCGATCACCAATATCTGAGTGCAACCGCTGGTAAACCTCTAAGAGGTTTGATTCAAGATCATATTTCCGTTTCCGTTTGGATGTGTAACAAAGATACATACTTTGATCGGGCTACATATCAACAACTTATCTATAACTGTATTCGCCCAGAAAGTGGACATATTGTAGGCGAACGCATAGAGACTGTGCCACCTGCAATCATTAAACCTGTCGCACGTTGGACTGGGAAGCAGGTCATCACAACAATACTAAAAAATATCACACCTCTCAACTGCGCCCCAATATCTCTTACAGGAAAAACACAAACTCCAGCTGATCGATGGGGTGCGGATTCAGAGGAAGGTGTTGTACTTTTTAAGGGCGGCGAGTTCATTACTGGAATTCTGGACAAAGCCCAGATCGGTCCTGCTGGCGGTGGTCTCATCCACTCTGTTCATGAGGTCTATGGCCCTGCCACAGCTGGAAAGCTTCTCAGTATTCTTGGTCGTTTACTGACGAAGTATCTCCATATGAGGGCTTTCACTTGCGGAATGGATGATCTCAGGCTCACCCCCGAAGGCGAGAAAACCCGTATCGAGACTTTGTCAGATGCTAGTAAGATTGGTCTTGAGGTGGCTGCTAAGTACGTTTCTCTCGAAGACCAAAAACCTACCGAAACAGATCAAGAGCTGCTCAACAGATTGGAGGATGTCATGAGAGACGATTCTAAACAAGCAGGTCTAGATGCGTTGATGAACGCTCGCGCCGGAAAGCTTTCTACCTCTATTACTAATGCATGCCTTCCCCAAGGCTTGGTCAAGCAATTTCCGCACAACCAGATGCAGAATATGACAGTTTCTGGAGCCAAGGGTAGTGCTGTCAACGCCAATCTTATCTCTTGTAATTTGGGACAACAAGTCTTGGAAGGACGTAGAGTACCGTTGATGGTGAGCGGAAAATCTCTTCCTTGCTTCAAGCCATTCGACACGCACATTAGAGCGGGAGGTTATATCGTCAATCGTTTCTTGACTGGAATTCGGCCACAAGAATACTACTTCCACGCAATGGCTGGTAGAGAAGGTTTGATTGATACTGCAGTCAAAACCTCGAGATCCGGATATCTACAAAGATGTTTGATCAAGGGTATGGAGGGTCTTAAGGTCGAGTACGATACGTCCGTGCGAGATTCCGACGGATCTATGATTCAATTTATCTACGGTGAAGATGGACTCGATGTGACCAAGCAGAAGCATTTGACCGATTTCAAATTCTTGTTGCAGAATCTTATGTCGGAGCTTGCTCAGTTAAATTATGGCGACCCTCGCTATGATACTATTTTTGAAGAGAAGGAAACAATCATTAAACGAATGAAGAAGGCCTTGAAGCATGCAAAAGCAAATGATCTCAATGGTCCAGATCCAGTCCTCTCTGAATACAACCCTGGAAAATATGGATACGCAACATCTGAGAAATATTTCGAGACTTTGACGAACTACATGAAGACCAACCCAGATGGTATGGTTAAGGACAAGGATCATCCAGACGGTGTCGGACCAAGAAAAGCTTTGGAACCCGTTCTCGTTGCCAAATACTTGAAGTCTGTTGTTGAACCTGGTGAAGCTGTTGGTATTGTTGCCGGTCAATCTGTAGGTGAGCCGTCCACACAGATGACACTCAACACTTTCCATTTGGCTGGTCACTCTTCTAAGAACGTCACACTCGGTATTCCACGTCTTCGTGAAATTGTCATGACAGCAAGTAATCACATTTCAACGCCATCCATGACGTTAACACTCAACGAAGAGCTTACGCCTGATGAATGTGAAAAATTCGCCAAGTCTATAAGCATTCTTTCATTGGCTGAGGTATTGGATTGGGCCACAGTCAAGGAGCGAATTGGACGTGGAGTAGCTTTCCAGCAAGCTAAGATCTATGATATTCACATCAAGCTCTTCCCTTCAAAGGAATACTGTGAAACCTACGCCATTGACGTCGATGATGTTCTTTTCACACTTCAACGAAGGTTTACATCAAAACTTCAACATCTTACACGCAAGGCTCTAGGACGAAAGAAGGTTGAAAAGGCAGGTAAAGCAAACACCGCTGCAGTACCGGAAATTGGAAAATCTGTCGGTACTATAGAAGAGGCTAGACCAGATGCAGAGAGAGAAATGGGTGAAGATGACGAAGATGACGATGGTGATGATGATGCAACCAACGACAAGCAGAAAGCAAACCGCTCTGAGGCTGTCAGTTACGCTGCAAACGATGATGAAGATGATGCGGTTCAAGCACAAAATGCCGAGCCGGAAGATGTTGAAGACATGGAAGACGAAGGAATTGGGGGTAGTCCACGTGCACCACAAAGTGATGATGAAGATGAAGGTGATGACGAGAGTGGAGAACGTAAAAAGCGCAAGACAACCGCTGCGTCCGAGGAGCTCGAAGCCCAAGTCAAGAAGCGATGCGAAGACATTACTCGTTTCCGCTTCGACCAGGACAATGCAGAGTGGTGCGATGTTAGCCTCGAATATGATGCCGATGTTCCTAAGGTTCTCATGCTTTCTATTGTTGAAGAAGCTCTTCGATCTTGTCTTATTCAGCATATTCCAGGCATTGGATCATGTACTTATGATGGGGACAACGAAGTCAAGGATTCTAAGACAGGAAAGATGGTTAAGATACCAGTGGTTCACACCGAGGGTGTTAACCTTAAGGCAATGCAAAACTATGCCGCATTTATCAACCCCAACAAGATCTCGACCAACGACATCGCCGCAATGCTCGAGAATTATGGTGTGGAGGCTTGTCGATCAACCATCGTTCAGGAGTTGCACAGTGTTTTCGATGGTCATGCTATCGCCGTAGATATGCGCCATTTGAATCTGATTGCAGACTACATGACCAGAGGTGGTGGTTTCAGTCCGTTCAACCGAAATGGAATGAAGGGCAGTGTCAGCCCTTTCATGAAGATGAGTTTCGAAACAACCGTTGGTTTCTTGGCAGATGCCGTCGCAGAGTGTGATTGGGATGACTTGGCCAACCCAAGTAGTAGAATTGTGATAGGAAGGATGAGCAAGGTCGGCACTGGAGCTTTTGATGTTCTTACTAAAGTGCCAACGGGAAAGAATGAGGATGAGGACATGGAGGATTGAGTACTAATCTAGGGAGTTGGAGGTTGCTAGGGTTTTTTATTTGGCGTCCTATCGAAGGCATAATGTGAAAAGTGTATTGGTATATCATGATGAAATGGAATAGAATCTACTTAACCAAAACTGATCATGCCTTTCTCGTGAAGTCAAATTCTATTATTTTGAATCATTTTGTAATTGACCTAATTATATTGTACAACAAACTCTGGGGCCTGAAATTATGTGGTATCATGCGATAGAATCGTATAATTGAGCCTGCTGGCTAATTACCTTATAAAGCGGCAGGAGAAAAGCAATGTTAGAAAAAGAAAGGTGGTTATGAAAGTCAAGAAGATAAAATGCTTGAAAATCTATGTATCATGGACTCTTTCAAGCCAATAAGCCTCCCACGACAGCTGTGAATGCCAGCATCCACCAGGTCTCTCTCACGCAAGTAGCCCTGCCATTAAATTGCGCAGTGACCGCACTTCCAATGCTTGTACCACTGGCACTAGCCGCTGCTGCTGTTGTCGCCATACTTGTGCCAGCAGATGAGGTAGTTTTGGCTCCACTTCCACCATTGGCACTCGAACTTATCGATATGCTCACAGCAGTAGTAGTCAGGCTACCCGTGTGTGCCAAATATCCACTCTTAATCGTCGTTGTTGCATTCGCACTCCTATACGGCGGCCCTCCCGTCTCACTCGATCCTGCAATCAACCCCGGTTGCGAGTCCACCACGACTTGCGAGTCCACCGCACTTGAATACCTTACTGAATCCTCTGCACCACTTGGAAATGACCCATCTCCTGTCGTCGTGCTCCCCTCTACACATTTTCCATCTCCCCAAACGGTGTTTTCGATTCGTTTCCATAGGCCTTGCATATCGTACATATCTTCTTCTTTGTAGAATAATCTGCAGTTACTGGCTTCGTAGATGAATTGGAGAGGGGTGAAGGAAGAGTCGTTCTGGCATATGTTGTCTCGGAAGTTCAAGCGGGAATTGGCTCCTTGGTAGGTGGAATCGCCTAAGGGCCAGGGGGCGATGGCTCCCAGCGGAGTGGAGGCAGTGGATGGCGCGGAGGGAATGGAAAGGGAATTGAGGGTTAGATTGGCTATTGTTTGGAGGACTTGTGCGAGGTAGCTGTCGATTTCGCTGAATGTGAGAACTTCGGATCTGCGGATAGAAGAGTTAGTTTGGATGAAGTTGAGAGTAGAGTGCTGAGAAGAAGAAAACGGACCCTTTAGATCCGGCTACTCCTTGCATAGGTCCAGTTTGAGGACGGCCGCCCATAACAACTGCAGTGAATGGTATGTTAGCACTTTATGATACCCATAATAAAGCATTGAGATGCAATTTAAGAATAACATTTATGATGAAAGTTCATTACATGCCACTTCTAACACCACCTTGACTTTTCATGAATTCCGAAAATACAGCGCAAGTAGAGCCACACGATCCATCATATAGTAGCACAATATTCTTGCTTTCGAAAATCTGTGGTCCCAATGCGAGTGAGCCATTTCGTGGTATCTCGCTTGTGAAATACTCTGGAACGAATCGTGTTTGTGCGGTAAAAGTATCATTGTAGATTGTGTCTGGTGGATCAAGCGCACTGTGGTTGTATGTATGTTAGTGTGATATACAATGCAAGTAGTCCCGAATCCAGGTATCCTAATAGGAAACACCTACCTCCAATTTGAAAATGGTTTGCCATTGATATCCATATAAGTCTGCGCCTCAAACTCATAATTCGCATCCGGCACTCCTCCAATCTCCAAATTCTCCGTGAATACACTCCCCAGAAACTTCCCCACCTCTGTGTTTCCCATCCTGCTCGCACCAAAAGGCTCTAAGCTAGGTAAGATTCTTTGGAAAGTATCGTAACCTTCTATTACTGCTCCTCCGCCGTTAGCTTGCACATCGACTATCAATTTCGTCTTATTGTGTTTACGACAAGAGGAGAGAAAGGAGGCTACGACTTCCGATTGAAGAAGTGGTGTATCGGTGTCTGTTTCTGCGGGATCAATAAAACCTTGCATGACGAGAACAGCGACACTGCTGTTGGGTAGGAAGTAACCAGATACGTAGCCATCTCGGTGAATGACTATGGGAGTGGGATAGCCCACGAGAGAAGTGGTGGTAGTAATGCGGACGGAGGAAGTAGCAGAGGCAGCAGCAGACTCAGTTGTAGTGGATGGCAATGGGTTAAGGGCATCGAACAAACTTTGGCCTGAATCAATGCCATCAAAGGAGATTAGCGCTTCGGCAACATTCTGGAGCGATTTCGTGGTGCCATTCTCGAATGTATAGTTGTAGAAGTCGGATGTGAATCCCAACATTTGACGGACATTAAATACATTACCACCGCCTGAGACATTAAAGGCTGGAGAGAAAAACAGCTGATTATAGGTGGCATCCGGATCGTTGAAATTGCTAAGACTTTGACTAGTCTTTTGTAGAAATGTGTTTGCATCTTGGCCGTTTATTTTGACAATGGCAGAAGGTGTAAAAGTAGCATTCTTGGCTTTGGTGGTTTGATCGAGGTCCACTATTGACAATGTCAGTAATTATTTTGAGGGACGAACAGAATATACAGACTTTTGAAGAAAACTTTTGGTAAACTCAGTCCATCAGAAGAAACTGATACCAACGATCCTCCCCTAACGGCAAATTCGAACACAGAGCTAATGAGTGGCAATGGCAAATTGAAATGAAGGTCATGAGGGAGAATGTTGACTAGGGACCAGATATCCCTTTCAAAATCCCACTGAGTTTTATATTCTCCGGAAAGGAGAAGTGTTTTCATTTGTGTCAATCCACCTAGGACATCGACCCCTGGGAAAAGCCACCCTTGAGGCGGATTCTTCAAGTAGGCCAGTGTACTTTGAAGCTGTAAATATGGTTCGATAAACTCAATGAATGAGATGGACCTATTGACATTCAATGGAACTGATTTAAGGCATTCTAGAGCGGTTGATGCTGCAACGATGGGCTCATCTACGCAAAATTAGTCTGAACGATTTGCGTTCATGGTCAACTAAATGTGATCTTACCTGGAGATCGGCGGATCATTACCGAAACACTTGCACATGCTCCAGATGATGTGTTTGTGAAGCCAGTTGGAGCGAATGCCGTTGATCTAGTTGAGCTAGAGGATTGCTTGTGTGTTCGTTGAGCAGTTTGACTAGAGGAAGAAGCTGCAGTTTTGGATGCTGCATCTCCAACTGCCAGGATACACGCAGCCGTGAACAATGAAGCTATGAAACGCATTCTAGTGAAAAACTCTCTTGGAAAAAGACTGTAAGAAGAGATAAAGACTCTATAGTGAACAAGAGCAGTACAGCTAAGGAAAGCCAAGAAGAACACAGGTGTGAAAGTAACGAGAGAAGTAATGAAAGATCGAAGTGGAGATATAATAACATTACGCTTGGAAGATGATTTTGATATAGATATTGAAATTCATGATTCTGGACCCGATCTCTTCACCCTACAGTGCTGAGGGCTGTGTCCCATGCAGGTAAAATCCTTCACTGCAGCAATCTCATCGTTGAGAAATCCTTAATGCGTTTAAGTTTACTTTCAAACACAGGGCTACTACCCGATCATTGTAAATAGGTTAATCAACTCTGAAAATTGATAAGGATGGTGATTTGGGGGCAGGGTCGAAGAGCCAGAGGCTGTGATATACGAGAGGTGAGTCGTAACGTGTAGTTGAAATTCTGAGCTGCAAATCTTACGTGGAAATAAGATTTCAGGCGCAAATAAGCATGGGTGTGGATGAGCAAATTGACCTATTAATTGACCTACCAAGGGGCTCTGTTCGGTTAATACCTCCTATACCCAGCCCTTGACATAATTATCTGAAACGGGGAAGGTGGGCAGATTCATGCTTACTGGTTTGTACAGGGCGATCGTAAGACGGGATTGTACTTATATACTCTAGCAATAGTTCGATGCTGTTACTGCCCGGAGTTGATTTTTTAGCGTTCTGCTTTAAATGTAACAGCGATAAAACTCAAGACTAAGATGGAAACTGATGTGACTTCTCCATCTAATTGCATCGACCTTATTGATCTTCCCAAAATAATAAAGGTCAAGGGGGCGCTAGATTGATGTTATGTGGTGCCATTTGTCGACGTTCGAAGTACTTCATGTCATGAAGCTTTAATTTGCCTGAGAACTACCCAAATGAGTGTATTCCTTTATTCGTTGCATCATGTTGAAAACACCTGGCTATCTCCTTTCCATGCACTTTTCACATACAGATGGATCATTGTTGTAGATGACAGGGGCGTTCATTGGACCAATCTCAGCTAATAATGTATGAAATGTATGCGGAAAATTGGGTAAATCCAAAGCATATTATCCCCAATTTACCAGATCTCCAATGATTTTCCAAATTGCTGCATCTATTGATCAAGAGTAGCGACAGTAGGATCCCAAGCACATACATAATAGTCCCCAGTTTCCAGCCCATTCATCTCCTCTGCTGTGAGCTCGAAATCATAAATGTCGGCATTTTCCTTAATTCTGCTAGGGGTAACAGTTTTTGGCAAGGGTACAAAGCCCTTCTGTAAACTCCATCTTAGCAGGATTTGGGCGGAGGTCTTGTTGTACTCCTTAGCCAGTGGTTGAAGCAGTTTGGAGTCATGCCTCTCGCCACGAACAAGAGGGGAGTATGCTTCTAGAATAATGCCTCGCTTCTCACACCACGAAACAATATCAGCTCGAGCAAGCCACTATCTTAAAGTTAGCCTTGCCGTATCTCGGAACAAATAACACTGAGGATCCCGCGAAGGTATTGAGGGGCACTTGGGAAAGAAAACAAGTTGTGGAAGCACGAGAGAGGTATCTCGAGAGCAGCAAACCCAAATTTTTATCCCTGCTTGGATAGTTGTGTAACGAAGAGATAGATAGAGGGGATTAAGAAGGGCAGTCAAAATAACTTACTGGATGAAGTTCCCACTGTCCAACATCAATGACGCCACCTCTACCCTTACCTCTTTCCTCCTCGAGTTCTTTTATATAAACTTCCATTTCGTCCAAATGATGAACACCATAATTGCTGACGCCAAGACTGCGAATTTTTCCTTCTTCCTGAGCCTCGACTAGAGCTTTCCAAGCACCCTTACGAGCAGCTCGCCCGCCATAAGGAGCATGAATGAGCATGAGATCAATGTAGTCAAGCCCAGTTTCCATAAGAGTTTTGGTAACTTGTGCTTTGGTATTCTCATAGCTCAAAGCACGAGGTGGAATTTTACTAGTAAAGAAAATATCTTCACGTGGAATGCTGGATTTGTGAACTGCAACGGCGCAGGGACCTTCATTTCGATATGCTGCAGCCGAATCGACCTGTGCCATGTTAGAGGAGTACCAAAAGCCCCTCTTCTTGGAACTGTTCTTACATGTCGATAACCTGCATCAAAGGCTTTGGCCACTAGATCTTCACATTGAGATGCTGGACTAAAATCGATATTAGTTCGACCCACATTCCTCGATGATGGTATCTCCGTACGTTTGGTAAACTCCATACCCCAGGATAGGAATATCATATCCCGAGTTCATACGAAGCTTTGAATTGATATCGAATTTCGTCATGTTGTTGCTAAAGTACAAGTTAGTTTGGAAGTTCAAATCAATTATGAGTTATATAGAAAGATTGCGGTAGAAACTAGAATGGTAGTGACCGATGAGAAAGACCCAGAGTTTAAGAGGAACACAATTTAATGATACCTAAGTATATCAAAACATCCTGGATTTGAGAACAAATTTGATGCAAGGTAACAAAGAGAGGATGTATCAAGTGAGATACTCATCACGTAGTACGTACTTTTTGGAAGAAGCTATAAACGATCTTGAATGAGTAGCTTGAACCGATGGCTTGAATTGATTTCTTATGAGATTGAGACGTGATGTTAAAGAAGATCTCATGATATAAAGAATCTAATTGGAAAACGCAGCAAAGAAGAGAAACAGGCCTACCTAAATACCCAATCTAGATATCTGATGTATTTCCGCAGTAACCTTGCCCCTCGATTTCAAATATCTTTGTTTTTGCTCAACCTTAACTCCGAGTCCGACGACGAAGAATGACAGACACGTGACATATTTATAATTGCAGAGTCGGGCATGGTTGAACAGGTACCAACAAGATTTTCAAAGCACGACATGGGGTATTCTGTGTACGGTGGTACTTAGTTAGATATAAATGTATTCGATATACGACGCTCCGCTTGGCCACTGCCGTGGAGGCTTCTTCGCTTCGCTCCAGAACGGCAGGTATATTGAGATACATATTAGAGAGAGAAGAAGCTCGATCACACGTGATGATATCTTCTTCAATCTTCGATAGCTTTATATACTAGACACTGATCATGAGTATTGAAGTGATTTTGAAGTTATTCCAGTTGTAACACCACCTAAACACAGTAGTAGTCGACGTCCTTTCTAAAAGCTGCCATGTTCATACAGCAGCACGTGAGCAGACAGATAAGATCAGTTTTTGTCCATCCTCGCCCTCGAGCCATCTATTGATCTTAGCATTGATTCTCAAACCCATTCATATCCATTGTATTGTATTGTTTACGTCATGTTGAAAACGAAAGATTCTCCAGTCACATCAAAAGAATTATCAATCCGTTCTCAAAAGATAATATCGAAATGTGTACATGTCTAACTACCTACATACTGTCACATATATTTCTCGGATAAAATGTACTGAATAGGACAGCATCTTTCAACCGTCTATAGACCTGTAGACTAAATCTTAGTACGACACCGGCTGCTCACTAGATACCCCGCCATCACTTAGCCCACGGTGAAATCATCATCATATTTTTTTCTCCCAAGTCTATAAAGTGAATTCCTTCCAACCTTGCGACGCAATTTCCTACACATTTCACACCACACAATCTACCTGAAAGATACCACAATACTTTTGGAAAGTCCTGCATATAATACATTGTACAAATAAATCTTGGAAGAATAAAACGCATCTGCAGAAACCAAAAGTTATGCGCCTCCTTGAACAACATATCGAGCGTGATGGCTCTGGAACCATCACTCTTATGCCAGAAGAACCAGAAGATATGGTTCGCCTGCTCCCTATTCTCTCCCTTAACTCATCAATTCTAACATATGTCAGTGGCATGCCTATAACCTCATAACCCCCACCGACATCCTACGCGCCAGCGCCCTCCGCAAGATTAGCAGAGAAACCGCCACCGGAAGCGTAACCACAACCCGCACACACTGTACCCTATCCATCAGCGTAGTATCTTTAGATTTCGATCCACAAGCCGGCCAATTACACGTCAAAGGCCGCATAAGCGAGGAGAACTTATACGTTAAGGTCGGCGCATATCATACTCTCGATCTGGAACTGAATCGCAAATTCACAATCGCCAAAATCGACGGTTGGGATTCCGTTGCTCTAGATGTTGTGAAAGAAGCTATTCGAGAGGACAAAGAGGGCGTGGTACCTGCGATCGTGATGCAAGAGGGAATGGCCAATATATGTTTGATCACCGAACATCAAACCATTTTAAAGCAGAGAATCGAAACCAGGATACCGAAAAAGAGAGCCGGGATGGCTGGAGATTACGATAGTGGAATGAAGCGCTTTTACCAGACAGTACTCGAAACACTCTTGAGATATGTAGATATTGCTCAACAACGCCCATTATTACTCGCAAGTCCCGGATTCGTCGCACAGGGATTTCAGAAATACATACTGGAGGAAGCAAGTAGGACCGGAAACAAAGCCGTCCTAGCCAATAAGAATAATTTCGTCGTGGTACATAGCAGTTCCGGTCATCTTCACAGTCTTAACGAAATCCTCACGAGTCCGGAAGTATTGGCTAAACTCAGCAATACGAAATACGCCCGCGAAACACGCTTTATGGATGAATTCATGACGATGCTTCGGAAAGATGACGGCAGAGCATGGTATGGACCGGCTGAAGTGGAGAAAGCAGTTGAGCAAGGGGCGGTAGGAGCAGGAGGGGGTGTTTTATTAATAAGTAACGAATTATTTCGAAGTCAGGAAATAGGAGTTAGGAAGAGATGGGTTAAAGTGGTCGACAAGGTTAAAAACGATGGAGGAGAAGCGAGGGTCTTGAGTAGTGATCATGAAAGTGGAAAGAGGCTGGAGGGACTAGGTGGCATTGCAGCAATACTGACGTATCCATTAGAGGATCTGGATGAGGAGAGCGAGGAGGAAATTGAAAACGAGGAGGATTCGACGGCGAAGGGGGTGCAGGCTATGGTTATATAGCCTCTCCGTGGCATCTGAAGCGAGTAACATATTTGGAAACTCATGATCTTACCTCTTGGGTTAGCGAGATCTAAGAATAATGAAAAAGATCATAATTTACAAAAACGACGCGAAGGGGAGGCTCTTGATACCGTCTTTTCCATTTCATACTCCATCCCGACCTACCAATCTACCCACTTGATCCATTCAATGTAAACTTACCACCCACTCAAAAATCAAAAAACCCTTCATCTTAGATACCCACGGAACCGTCAAAGATCAAAATCAAACTCATAGAGAATCCCATGATTCAAACAGCGAATCCCTGCATCACAATCTCTCTCAATCCACTACATACACCGGACGCATACTCACGATTCCTCAACACAATAACAAGAGATGTTTATTCTCGTACCCACTATCTACGTATCTATATACCTGCCACTTACCATATAGATAGATAGATAGATAGATATTCAGGACCTGATTCACACATCCGTTACATCGCATCTCCTGAGTTCAATCTCATGATTAGACCCCCTATTCATTTATCCGAGGTTATGACTGCGTCCCATTTCCTGTTTGTTCGGGGGAGAGAGGCGGGGATTTGAACGACCGATCGAGAAATAGGGCTTGAGAGGATTGATTATCTGTAGACAGGTTGTACATGGAGCGTAGTCATTTTGTGTCTAGGTGATTTGGTACATCAATCGTCCAAGATGTTGTTTGTATTCACTATGTTGCATTTACTGCATAGATATCCATCAAGGTGTTGCGAATCATGAGACTTGAACTCAGCGATATAAGGATAACCTTGAGCATGTGAATACAAACTTTGATCCCGTATCAATAAACAAAGACATACTCTACACCCCACACTTGGATTTAGAAATCCCTTTACCCGCCTTCTGTTTCAACACTGTATAAACCATACTTGAAATGCTTCTCCCCATTTCAATCATTCAAATTGTTTTTCCGTAGACGATATCGTACCACCAGGTCGAATACCAACCCTACTGCATAAAAAGGAGATAGACTACCACCATCCAAACTCGAACCTCTACACGATTTATGACCCTATATCTGCCGCCCCTACCATCCTGTCTCATTCGGGTCTCAACAAGACGAGACCTTGATCTTCATCACACAGACATTTCATCCGCATCCTCCCCAAGTATATCCTTAACACCCAATCTCATCGGATCTCCCCTTGTCAGATTTTGATGAATATTCTTCAGCGGCGGGGCTACATAAGGGCCAATCCCAGGAGCGTCAAGACTCGCTCTCCTTGCAATTCCCTGACGATAAGGCGCATCTGTAAAGTATGGCGAATGCCACACACACGCCATGAAAATTTCCTCGCCCGCTTCGTCATCGGTAAAACCGTCTGGCATGTTAGGATGCTCTAGGAGTGCTGTTCTTGTACCTTTACATTTTTCTATTTTCCATACTATATTCGAGTCGTACATCAAAAGATAAGCGTCGATATCTCTGGATTCTTGGTGCGCATCTACATCTTTTAAATTTCGTCGACAGATGAAATCAAATATTTCTGTGAGTTGTTGGTCGGGCTGCGGAGGTACTTTCATTTCTGTTTGCTGTGGTGGTGTGGGGTCCATCCAGCCTTTGTAGTTGACTTGAACGACGCCATACCCGGCAAGAGAATAGCTAATTTCGATTAGCAAACGTATCAAAAATTGACTGGAAGCAATCGGATATCCTACTAGAAGAGTTCATCTTTCGTGTTCGCCACAAGTAGGAATGTTTTCCATTCCCCATTTGTAAGCTCAATTCCACCGTGACGAAGAATATAGCACCTGATCAAATGCGCAGGCAATTGATATTTAAACGTGTGTATGGCAAGTGCAAACTTGTTTCGTTCTAGATACATTCTGATCTCATCGTACCTGGGACAATCCATTTCGACAGCATCAGCTCTATCGGCACGACCGATGATGGGCTGAAAACCATGTTCCCCAGTAGGAAGCCTTGGTGATAAGACCTTCGGGTGAACATTTTTTGATGCTTCCCTGATTATTAAGGTCAATCTTCTTTTTTCGGCCTCAAACGAATGGGTGACTTTAGTCCTTCTTCTAGAAAAAACTCCTGGTGCCTGTTTCTCAGGCCCCGGAGTACCCGTGGTATGTCTGAGAGCAGTCGCAGTCTCACCTCTTCGTCGAATAACACCTATTATCTTGGGACCCGCTTGAGTTGCCTTTGAGCCAAATCTGTGTGATTATAAGTTAGATTTATGGCCACATTCCCAGACTATCATTGAGCAGATCTTAGACGAATAAACTTACTTCCTCAGATAAACGTCCCAAAATTCTTCACACTCGAGGCTCATAAAATAAGAGACAGGAATCGGATAGTACATTATGTTTTCCCAATTCTTTTGCTTTTCCGGAGCCAGTACGGGCATAGTAGCCGTGTAAAATTCATGTCTGTACGTAGGCCAGTTATAGCTAACATTGATATCAGATTGAGGCAATGCGAGACAATATGGGGAAATAAGAGTCACTCACAAGATTATACCTCCGGAGGAGTATCCCGCAGTGTCTACAGGATTAATAACCGAAAGCGAGATGCCACCAAATACCTTAGAAAAACGGTTTAACAAGGACTAATATGAAGATCCTGAGAAGGATCCAGACTCATAGACATACCTGATTTGTTGCGGAAAATCCCCTATGTAATAGTCAGCTTCTCCGGCAAAAACGAATGCTGCTTGACTTGCAATTCTGGTATAGGCTCGTTATCAAAGTAAGGCTCGCCCCAGCCCCATTCCTCAAGCTCTTTGTTCATTCTGACCATTTGATGGCCCATAGCATGCTGCTTTGATCAATGGTGAGCCAATACGAAATTCGAATGCAACTTACCGCAGTCTCGTGAAGAATATCTTCCGCCAAGCGAAAATCGTCCAAGGCTCTGTCCTCTGGCAAGAGAAGAGGGTTCAGCAACGGCTCGACCAATTCATAGGCGATGGTAACAAGGGTAGCTCGAGGTTCGGGCGGACTGCTTGATGTACCTCGACGTGGAGACCACCTGGTCAAGCCGGCTTGAAAGTTACCTAGTTCGGCCATTCCATCAGGAGTGCTCTTACACGAAATGCAAGTTTCAGTAGTTGTCTCATGAGGAAGTAATTTTTGGAGGGAAAACAAGGGTCAAAAACGTGCCTGTAAAGAGAGATATGTAGAAAGGAATTAAAAAACTGAGATCTGGAATAGAGAAGTAGAGATCACTAAGCTGAATACATACTTTGGCTCCTACCAATGCATAATTAACCTGTTTTGTCATATTACCCAATAGCTCTATAGCGTAAGATGCAAGTTCCGTGTCTTTTCTGTCCTCCACGGAAATGAATCGCATTACATGAAGGCCAAAGTCGGGTGGAAGCTCCGTTTCTGGAACCTCTACCAGTGGACCCTTCAGTAACGCATTGAACCTTTGCCGTTAGCGAAATAGGAATGAATCGTCACGACCAGGAAGCATACCAGTCCCACGTATGTATGTTAGCGATAACGCTTGATACAATCTTTATGGCCGGTAACATTGCATTCCACACGCTGGATGCCGGTGTTTTAGTAAGGGTGAGTTCAAAGATAGAGTATACTCACGCATCATTCTTGGCCTGATTTGCTTAGTAAATCTTCATTAAAGATTTCGATATGGCGGATTACTTGCCTCCCAATATTCATTACCATCTCCGAATGGATACCTAGCCAGATTTTTCGGAAACTCATATAGCCAATTGCTTCTTTCCAACAATGGATGAATCGGGACTTTTCCAAGATCACTTCCATAGTCTATCCTTCGACTTATAGTTTCCTGAGAATCTGGCAAAGCTAGAACTGATTTCAACTCTGCTGCGGTGAAACCTTTGAACAGCGTTAGTCGTCAAGTAAAATGTGATTGAGGAAAGCCTACCAGAGAACCTAATCCTTTGATACAACTCAAGACTTGCGTCAAGATCTAATTGATCTTGGGGTTTTAAGAATTGTGCTGGAGTTACTGGTGTGAGGCCGCTTTTCAATTGGGGCAGGTAGCTTTTCAGCACAGAATGAATGCCTCCTTTGGGATGTCCGTACTTTCTAGCAAAGGGTGTAGGTCCTGCAAACCTTATGTGAGTTCCTTTTGGTGGTAATGGATCCATATTTTGTATCGCTGCGACGTGCAATCGCTAAAATCGACTAATAGTTCACAGTAGATCACTCGCAAATACAAATAATAAAGGGTAAAAGATCATTTGTTCTTCATGTCTGCACTGCACCACAACAGAAAGACAAAGGGCGATGGGCCCCTTATGATTGTGAACAAAGAAATTTGACTCCAACACATACATTCCGTATAAAGCTAGCTTTTTGTCTTGAGTTGGGTCGAATCTATCACATTAATCAACTTGTGGAATATCAGTGATCTGAAAAGTCGTTTGGGGTAATTTAATCTCGATTTTGTCGAAACGATATCATGTTTTGAAGATGGGAAGTGAAGCTTAGTCTGGTATCATCATTGCTTATCTTTAACAAGAGGCTCAAGGCGGGACAGACATCCATTGACGTTAAAGAGTGTACTATTATCCCATACCCTACACAGCTTGCAACTGCCTTTTGATTCAAATTGACCCAGCCATCAAGAAATCACGTGCAGGTATAATTGCAAGCGGGGCCCTCAAATGTTCTTGAGATGAATTGTTTGTATTCATCATCTCGGAGGGCCTTCAGCCGTCGAGGGCTTTCAGTCACTGAGAATCGAAATAGATACAGATTTAGAGAAGGACAGGTAGTAGATTAGCGTTGGGGAAGATTGATAGAGATTGAGGAAGTTGAGCGCAGTTGAATGTTGGAGTCTAGACTCTGTGTGGGATAGTTCCATGCACCAACAATGATCTCGACCTTCTTTAGGTTATGAGATTGCAACATGGTTACCTGGTCAGCTTGACTTGAGGTTACCTAAGATGCATGCATTGCGTACACTAGTATAATAATATCTGGATAAATTTGACATGGAGGAAAAAAAGGAGAGTGAAGTAGTAGAGGTGTGTCAAAATGTTTGTTGTCAAGTTTTGGCTTGGGAGCAGGTAACTATTACTATAAGTAGGGAGGTAGGTAGAACTTTCAACATTTTTCGAACACTCATGGCCTTTATTAAGAATATGTCAATATCTTCAAAAGACCCAAGGTGGGTGTGGACACTGTGGAGCCGATGAAGTTGTTATGCAGCAAAAGCACAGATAAATTTGAACTCGTCTCGAGCGAGCTAGTTCAGTATCAATAGTGGAGTACTCACTGACCACTGACCACTGCTCATTCTCATTCAAGGACCCAAGGTTCCCCCCAGTGCTCACTCACACTTTGAACTTATCATATACACAGCTCGGTACGGGAAGACCGATGTCATAGAGGGGGAGGGGTCTCGGAGGTGTGAGGTGTGAGACCTTACCTACAAGTGTACGATGATTGATCAATGATCAATGATGATGGACCAATAATGATTCTGATCTTCTTGTATCGTCGATTGTAAGTGGAGAAGAAATGATGATTCTTTTCTTGAAGTGAATCTCATGATGAAGCTGTACGTGAGTTTGAGATGCTAGCCTCCTAGGTACATACATACATACGTAAGTAAAAATAGGAATTGACGCTCTGCTGGGCCACTGCCGTGGACTTCTTCGCTTCGCTCTAATAGAAGAGCATTATATGGTTGCTCCTCATTTCACTGCAAGTCATCATGTATCATCGATGAATTGATGAATCGATGGAAATCGAGCGCAGCGAGGACGGGGGTTTGGGGGTTACCCCCATTAAAAGAATGTATAACAATGATAATAAATCAGATAAAGAATTGAGTTTGGTCATACACAATGGAAAAGGGCGAATTGATAATGAAGTATGGATACTTTGATATTGTTGATGCGTGAATGGTGTGTATGGTAAGGTTATGTGTGATATGTGTGATATGTCACATCAAACTGATCTATACCTTTAATGGATTCAATCTCCACTGTTTATCGTTCGTTGGACCAACCGTTCCTTCATCCCCGCCCAACCTTAGCTTTGCTTGCTTCTGTTAGTCCTCTTTACTTTCCTAGTTTCATCGCGATGGAGGTCTGAACTTCAAATATATTGGTTGATCGTCATTTAGCTGCAGTTTCTTGAGACGCGAAAAGACGCCACCACACGGTATAATTGGGGAATTTGATATCAGATGTGACTCTAGGGAAGAGGTGGCTTATTGGGAATGCAAGAGACCGTTTATCCAAGCTCCAAGCTCCAAGGTCGATATTGGATTGGACGAGAGACGAAGATGAGAGATGAGGATGAGGATCAAGATGGCGAGGGATGATGAAAAGAATAGAAATAGAGTTTGAGGTGAGGGTATGAAGGAGGTGTCAATTGAATGCAGCAGGTATCAAGTGAATGAAGAAGCGGAAAGGGGAAAGCCAAGAGGATAAGATGGGGAAGAGAACGGGTTGGTATTGGTGGACACTGTGAGCCATTCGAATCTAGACAATGCAGGTCGAATGCAGGTTGAATGCAAGTATGTAAGTCTTACTACTTGGGCATGAAGGGAGAAAAGAAGAAAGGCGCCGATGAAATAGATGGCGAGATAGAATGATTGATGAATAGTTACATGTATGACATATGGTATGTGGAAGTGAATATGTGTGTGTGATCGTAGAGAAATACCTGGGCAGAGGGTAGAGGGTAGAGATCGAGCGAAGAAATCAATACAATTCCTATTGTTTCTCCTTTGACCCTTCTCTTCTCTCTCTCTCTCTCTCGAATAGGATCCATGAGCTGCCAATTAAAGTTTCCTCTCTACATTTGGATTACTTTCTTCATTGAGAGATCCAATGATAGTTTCCCACACACTTCTTTTTCTTTGATCGTTCTCCTTCTCTTTCTCTCTTCTCTCTTCTCTCTTCTCTCTTCACCCCATCCTCTTTTTCATCAATTGCCCATTCACTCCAATCAAACATCAAGCATCAATCAGAATCACTCCAAGCCCATTCCATCCACGCAATCTCCGATCGTTCACAAATTAAGTTTTGCACTTGACAGTATTTGTTCAAGGGCGTCCTGTGCACCAGAAGATAAAAGTGGTGCTCTTACTATCATATTACCATTCGTCCCCAGACTATTGACACGGTTGTGCTTATCTATCCGCTTTTGAAACTTGGGGTCTGCGATAAGGCGATTCCTCTATCCCTCTATTCCTCTATTCCTCTCTACCCTGCCTGTCTGCCTCCCACCACCTGCCTGCTACCTCCATCTACTTCTACTTCGACTTCGCAATCTGAAAGGGAAGTTGTCTCATATTTGACTTTGGTATTTGAACCACCACGCATCTGAACCACCACGCATTTGGGTATGTGTATCTGTTTTACTTATCTATGTGATACGGCCATTTCCCTCCAAGAGAAGACCGTCAGGTACATCAAGATCAATTCATTAAACTTTGTTTGCATTGCGTTCATTTACTTACACATATAAAATCACAGATGCTCGACTCGAATTCCTCACATTCACAACAGCAATCACACACCCTAGCTTGACTGTGGCATTCCAACCATCACACGACTTCCCACAAAGAACAAATATAAACATTCCTCCCTCGACAACACATTTTGGCCAAAGGATCGTGGTGCTGCTTACATACATACCCTTCAAATATCTTCTTACATGTTGCATCTCGACCATAAACAATATTTAACCCTTCCCAGGTTGCAAGATTGCTTCAATTCAATAATGGCTACAATTGCTTTACCCAGACCCATTCCCGCAGGTCACACGAGATCTTCTTCACCACCCCACTCACACCCTTTAACTCCCACGCTAAGCCTGGATTCCATCAATTCATCGTCGGCCTTCCCAATTCCTATTCCCAATAAACATCTACCAGTATGCCCACCAGGTCCCACTCCATCCGAGAAACCAGATACCCCTCCCAACTCCCCACCCACCAAAGAACTTTCTTTATCCCAACGATCAATCCTATATCCGCCCGTCAATTATAATTCACGATATATTGACGCTTCCATAATATATGAGATTGACGCAGCTGGTGTAGCGGCTGCTTTGGAACATTTAGCAGGCCAACCTCTCCCTGATCCTTCCCAAGTCTTTCCCTGGTTTCATGGTCTGCATCCCTCCAATCATATCCAACAAGCTTTCTTTATAGCGCGGCGGCGAACCTTACGAAGAACGCCAAAATGTATTCGAGGTATAACAATTGTCAAGGCCGATGGAGATTTGACTTCTTCGAGACTGAAAGGTGCAATTACTCCTGACGAGTTCTTGAAGTTTGGAATCACGACCGAATTTCAAGAAGTCGATCCCAAAGAAGGATTTTCGGTCCGAAACTTTCAAATACAAGCCGCGAAGTCTGCCATGGTATCAGACATCATTGTTTACGGAGAGGATTCTCGTAATGTCGAGAGACTGGCGAGGGAAATCGCTGCTGCACAACAAGCTGTTCGTGAGACTCATTTCAACCAAGGACATGAAATTGCTCAATACAATACATTTATATGCACTAGTGCGTTCAGTGAATTCGAGGAGAATTGTCCACAAATTGTTTCGGTGGATTCTCGGGCTAGATGGACTGGGGAAGTCATGGATTTCTTTCATCAAGAGAGAGTGGAGATGTGTGCCATGACCAAAGCTTCGGAAATCGATCATAACGTCTGGTTAGGTCCAACCCCAGATGGATACTCGGAAACTCGTCAAGCATCTTCGGGAGGAGAATTCGATATTCTCATCGAATGCAATGATCTAGGTCAAATCAATCCTCGAGAACTACAAGACATTGCAGAAGGGAGATCAAGTAAACGACAATTAGGATTTCCATCTTCCGGAATGATTCAACCACCGTCCTGGGAACATGAACAAGCCGATGGGATTCTCGAAACTTGTAAATGGATATACAATCTTTCTCGCGGGATTTCGCCAGAAGATGAAGATGGTGATGTTGATTTGATCACCAAGACAAAGGAAAGAAAGATCCTGATTCATTGTACTGATGGCTACACCGAATCTACTCTCCTCGGTCTTGCATACTTCACTTATGCTACAGGTCTCTCTATCCCTAAAGCCTGGCTTGAGCTGCATACTTCAAAGAAGCGCAACTTCTTTGCATACCCGCAAGATGTCAGTCTCCTTACAACAATCGCACCTCGCCTCCTTTCTGAATCGCCTGTTCATAAAAGATCAAGCTTATTGGATATCACCGATCTTGCCAAAGAGGAACCTGAGTGGATAAAGTGTATGGATGGCAGTCTACCTTCTCGCGTTACTGACTACATGTACCTCGGGAATCTTGGACATGCGAATAATCCGGATCTTCTACGACGTCTTGGCATCAAGCAGATTTTGAGTGTGGGTGAAACTGCAACATGGAAGGATGGCGAAATGAATAAATGGGGAAAAGATAATGTGATGGTTATCCAACGGGTGCAAGACAATGGAGTAGACCCGTTGACCGATGAGTTCGAACGATGCTTAGATTTTATCGGTATGGTTTCCCCCCATGTGCTACAAGAGACCACTTGCTAATCAAACAAACAGAAAGAGGTAAACTCAACAATACAGCAACATTGGTTCATTGCCGTGTAGGCGTTTCTCGGAGCGCAACTATTTGCATCGCCGAAGTCATGCGTACAATGCATCTTTCATTTCCGCGTGCTTATTGCTTTGTCAGAGCGAGAAGATTAAATGTTATCATCCAGCCACATTTGAGATTTAGTTACGAACTCTTGAAATGGGAAGAGAAACTCAAGATGTCAGGTGGCAAGTTTGGGGGAAAGTGGAAAGGCAGGGAACTGGAATGGGCGGATATTGCGAGAGAAATTGCAGAGATGAATAGACCTTACAGCGCTGGTAGATGATGTTGGTTTGGAGTGACATTATATGGGATTGTATGGATGGATCTGGAGTTGAATACTGGGTATACTTACTTTCGATGGGAAATTATGATGTTATGATTGGGGTCTACTTTTCTTCTTTGGGATGGATGACGAATGATGGTTGATGAGTGGGATGGATTGGAGGACATTGGATACATACCCCTTCTCGGTTGAAACGTTTTGGTAATTTTGGATGCGACTTTTGGTTACGATTGGATTACGATATGATAGCGACAGATACCACATTCTTTGGCAGCGTATAGGAACGCTTGCAATCATTCTTAGGGATACCTTTAGGGACTTCAAGGAAAAGGAAGTACGTAATTATACGGTGTTCGGTTTTGAATTTTATATGATTTCTGGGTAATGCATCTTTTGAACTCTGAGTAATTGGTGATTGGTGACTGGTGACGGAGTGATTGGATGTTACTTGAAGAGTAATGATGTGGGCGCAGTACCATCAGGTTCCCTCGATGCCGGGGGTACAGCAGTGCCTACCTAGACCTGCTACTACAGCTCTTCTTGCAATCGCTTGTTACTATGAGCCAAGATACTAGTGTCATATGTTGTGCACTCAATTTAATCGCTAGAGCCTCCACCCTTTCAACCACTCTATTGCATGTATGCAAAAAACATCGTGGTTAGCTTAATATCTCATGTATTCTGAGCTGCTCTCTACTGGTATAAAGTAATCGTCGGTCTATTGTTAAAAAGGAACACATGTTAGCACCACCAGAAAGAACCGCCAGAGGGGAAAAATAATGAGGTCGAGGTAAGGGGGTGAGTGGGCGAATTTTTTGTCTTCTTTTTTGGTTTTGTGTGGAAGTGGAGATACATAGGCATCGAATTCGCTTTTTTTGCTGAGTTGGTTGGATCGCTGACATCTTGGTGGTATCTGTTATCTGGGGAGATGCGATTTTTTGGCAGTTTTTGGTGGGGAATTTTTGATATGGGAAGGGAATGAATGTATAGGATATTAAAAGAGATTCTATGTTTGATTGAGGTTGGGTTGGGTTACCGAGAGTAGGGGGGAGGCTGGTTGGAGGACTTGTGTGGGATAAGGGGAGAGGAGTCATGTAGCTGGTACCTTCCATATCCAAGTGGATAATTAAAAGATGTATTGGCTGGTTGTTGAGAAAAGAAAAGAATATCTGCTTGTTGATTATGTAGGTTTTATGATCTAGATCATTGGTGTCTTTTTTTAACTCCTTTGTGTATTGGAGGAAAGGGAAAGGAGGTGCAAAGTTTGGGGGAAGTTGTTTGTTGGCGATATTTGCCCTGTATCATATATCCCACCCATTGAAATTTATTCACAACATCATCACATCGTCGAGATTTCAAACATCATCATTGCTGCGTGATGTTCATCATATCAACTTCTCCTTCACTACTGACCTTTTGACCTGCCACTGCACAGCGTCGAGTTCTAGATATACTTCTCGAGGTGAAAAGAGACATGAAGAGAAATAGTGGCGATTAAATCTAATTGCACTTTTTGGGCTGTTTTACTTCATCTTTTTATACTCCTCCCTCACTCTTGAGGTTCGAGATACACGGGATGGGTTTCAAACACTTGTTCTCAACAACCTTCAAGATCATCCACGATATCTCCCATCAAATCATGAATTGATACCTCGTGCCGTCACATTCAGAAACACAGGAGATCAAATGCCAAAAAGATTTAATGTCAAACCCTCGACTCAAATACGTAGGTAGTCATTGCATCTACACCCGCAGCCCCAAGTCTTGGGAACTCAAAAGGGGCGGCAAGATGAGCGGGTCATTGTCATCATCACCATCATCACCATCATCACTATAGGTAGAATCCTCAACGGAAGGATCGACGGACGACACGGGGCGAAGGTGGTATAATGCCTTGAATATCTGATTTTACTGTTGCGAAATTTATGGTTAAATTCTTTCTTTTCTTCTTCATCTCGATTTACCAATTATGTATGTACTGATGAGAAGTAGGACTTTTAACTTGTGGCATGGAGTTTGACACGTGCGTGGGGAGTAGTATTTGTAAAGCTTCGTCGGGCATGACGGAGGAGTCGGAATGTAAGTAAGACGTTTGGGATTTTATGCATGGGTGTGAATGGGAATGTTACCTGGGCTAACAGATGTTGAAGATTATCTTGGGTATTGTAATGATCCGACGTATACCGCTTCTGTGTGTCCGAAAGAATGCAGTACATTAAATTTCCATCACTCAGCTCCATTTTCATTCAACCATCCATCTATCGATCTAGCACGTGTCTGGTCTCACAAATCAAAACTACCACTAACCCACCCTCTACACTAAAGTCGATCTCGAAACCAACGGCGGCGGCGCCATCAGCATCGTCTACAACTCCACAACGAGCGAGTGGAACTACTGCATCGATACCGAATGCAAGAGTCTCAGCAATGAAGTTTTCAAAGCTCCTGCTCCTTCCTCGTTATCAGTAATAGCTTCACCCACATCAAGACCCTATCCTACCTTTACTACTTCCTCGGCTTCTTTGGCTGGTACTTCTTCTTCTTTAGTGATCGCTTCTTCTTCTTCTGCATCATCTTTGATGATAGAATCCTCAACCTCAACCACAACCTCAAACACAACCACAACCCCCACATCCTAATCATCTCCCTCTCCCTCTTCATCAAAGATACCCCCCGGCACCATAGCAGGAATAGCCATCAGCGCAGCTATTTTCATCGCACTCCTAGCTCTCCTCACATATTTCCTCAAGCGCAAGCGCAAAAACAGAAACAGAAATAATCCCAACCAGAAACTAAATCAGACGACGCGAGAAGCATACGCCAAACCGGAGTTAGCAGGCGAGACTGGAAATCGAGGGGAGAGAAGTAGTGAGTTGGTGGAAGAGAGGAGGGTGGAGATGAGTGGTGGTGAGGTATGGGAAATGGCAGAGGGGAGAAGTTAGGCGTGGGAGTTGCGGGGAGGGGAGGGAAGGGTGGAGTTGGGGTGAGGGGTTTTAAGGGGAGGGAGGAATTATGAGATGGTTGATGCGATGTGATGATATTCATTCGGGGAATGGCTGTGGTAGAATCTCTCTCGCGCTTGTGTGATGATTGATACGCATTATTTTGCTGTGCACTTATTTTCTGTTCTTGAGCCAAATCGTATGTGGTGGTTCTTTGTGATGAGATTGTAATGGAATGAGATGGAATGAAATAGAATGGTCGTGATATTTTGCCTAGATCAGTTCACTCGAGTAGATAGATGGATGCAAAGGGAAGGAATATGAGTCGAGTAAGATTTTGGCTAGACCTATTGTAGTATACAGCATAGAGTTTCTGGTGGTTAGAGTGATGAGTAAATAGAAACGAAAGTTTGGAAAAGCTGAGATGGAGAAAGTTCGGGGTTTGTTCGATTGTCCGATATCTCGTCTATTTCGCCTTCGTCTAGCTTGGGTTCCTTCCTTGTCCTTGCTAGAATATTTCTCTGGTGATGTAGATTTGATGACTCTGACTATCTAGATAGATACAGCACAGTGTGTTTAATAGTCTGAACTGCGACTTAATAATCAAAAACTTTGTAACATCCAATCCATTCTAGCTATTGATATTTCAATTGTTGAAATGGTTCTGATTGTCAAGTGACATGAGATGATGAATTCGTGAAATTGAATTATCTATTAATTCGGAATTTGCAAATTAGATTCGGGAGGTAGACTGCATTCTAGGTCTAGAATACATGTAACCACAGCTGCAGCAACATACACTCATAATTTAAACGCGAATGTCCAGTGCTTCCCGAAAGCCATTTCGTTGCTGATTTGGGTTTAGAATGTATATTGTTTATCGACAGCCTTCTAATCATCCGCATCTCCCTTCACTCGAGATCCACGATCGAACATATCATTCCATATAGAATTTTCACGCTTAGCGACCCAAGGTGCAAACCCTGGCTTATCTGAGACCTCTCCTTTACCTTTCATCACACGGCGAACTTTAAAAGTCTTGAGGTCTTCAACAGCTTGCAAATCTAAATCAGACAGATTTATCTTCTTGTACCTACACGACCACTTCACATTGCTAGAGCTAACAACCTTCACGCCCAAAGATGGCAAGCCGAGGATCACTTCCTCGCCTAGAATCATGCCCCCGTGTGGTCTCCACACCACGACAGGTAGAGAATATCTCCATCTCTCTTCGCCATTCACCGTCCTTAAAAGTCTTTTTAATACCCGATGACCTCTCTCATCCAGAGATCGTTCCAGTTTGGGTATGTCTTCTTTATTAAAAAATCGAACAACTAAGCTACCAGCCTTGGAGGACATTTCGTTATGTATCTGAAGCCAGTATCGATTATCGAATAGAAGCCACTGAGGCTTTGTTCCTGGAAGCAGCTCTGGAATAATAGTTTCATCAAGTGACGACCTGTATCTAGGTTGACGAAATATATGCCATTCATTCTTTCCCGGGTATTTCCGATCGACATTGAATGGTTGAAACATGATACCAGCGGTGTTTATGGTTTTTGGTTGCGTTGTGACATCAGGTAATGGGAATATTTCCGGAACTGCGGCGGAAACCTGATTCAGTGATACGATGGAATTTGGCGTGATAGTCATGATTACACGACGGAGTAGCATAGCGGCTAGAACGGACCTGCTGGCGATATCTTGGGGAGTTATAGAAGGAATGGAGGGAAATTCCATAATAAGAGTACCTCGTCTAGTATCAAAGCTTAGGACTTTGCATTGCTTTATAAGCTGATCAACCTTTTGTTGACGTAGATTCTCAACGTTCTGAAGTTGAGCGGAAAGATCAAGAACTCTAGATTTGGGTAACACCATAGGCAGACCACTATGATCATATAGATGCCGTATTGCATTCCGGTCTGTCAGGGTGGGATCGCTATTGGTATTATCTTCAAACCACTCCACGCCCAAAGCCTTACATGTCGCGATAAGTCTCTCTTTTGGAAATTCAAGAAGAGGACGATAGAGGGTTATACCGCCAGACTCGACTATCAATTGAGGCATGATTTTTAAGACACTGGATGCAGATTGATCGCCATTATCTTTTCCAATAATGTTGGTCCACTTTGTGCCTTGTTTGGACTTGATAGGTAGAGCAAGTGTTATTGGGTTTCCACTCTCATGAACTCCATAGATGCCTTCACATTCTGGTATGGGAGAAGAGGGTTTAATACCGAGCAAACCAACACCCCGAGCGCCTTTCGCTAGACGCATTAGTACCGTCTCAGCTTGATCATCGGCGTGGTGTCCAAGGAGAATTGAACTGATATCAGACTTTTGACAATACTTTCCAATTGCCTGAAAACGGTATTTTCTAGCTAAGCTCTCGAAATTAGGTAGCTGGGAAGGATTCCCAGTAATGTCCTTCCATGGGAGAGTCAAAATTCGTGAGGTCATACCTACATTTCATTTTTTGTATTAGGAGCTTACAGATATACAAATCCAGAAAGAATAACATACCAAGAGATTCTAACACGCCCATAACCTTCTGAGCCTCTTCTAGACTGCCATCTCGTACTCCATGATTGACGATAACAGCTCGAAAATCGATCTTGTTAAGATGTATTGGATATCCATCAGAAGCAAATGGTATGTAATTCTTTTTCATTTGCATACACAACGCGGCAAGGGCCATAGAATCTACCCCTCCACTCACTGCAAGTCCTATCGGGCAATTAGTAGTAATCAGTTGTAAAATATAGCAACTACATACCTATAGTCCTATGACCCCGCTGGTCATGACGATAAGGAACCTGACATGGCCTTTTAAAAAGTGCATCGGCAAACTCCTTTATCGAAATAGGAAGTGCATTTTGCTTCATGGTGTTCATTCCATTATTTGATCAGCATTTCATTCTATTAACATCCACAATAATGCTTGAGAATACAATTGCTATGAAGAATGATTGTGTCGCGTGTTATCGCGTCAATTGATGCTATCAGCCCGCAAAAAGAGACGATAAAAATCTACCCGAGCTCCAACCTCAACTTTGTCATCCCAAATTCACCCCAACCATGAATTCGAAATTCACCCACCACATCTATTATCTTCTTTGCCTCGGTACGATCCGGCTTCGGCCACCTTAATACCACTTCTTCTACGGTCCTCAATTATCTCACTTGCTCAATTCCCTCCTTCCGCATAAATGTCACAATCAAGCTTCACCCCCGCTCTCCTAGCGGGAGCCCTCGCCGGTACCACGGTCGACCTTACCCTTTTCCCACTCGATACTTTAAAAACCCGCCTTCAATCTTCCGCCGGCTTCATTGCCTCTGGAGGCTTTACAGGTGTATATCGAGGAGTCGGTTCTGCCATAATTGGCTCTGCGCCCGGAGCTGCATTGTTCTTCTGCACATACGAAGCTACTAAAAGCGCATTCGCGAAACGACGAGATACTTTAAATGCAAATATACCCGGGGGTCGCGAAACAGGGAAAGCAGTTGAGCATATGGTTGCAGCAAGTCTGGGAGAGATCGCCGCTTGTGCCGTTCGTGTGCCTACGGAAGTCGTCAAGCAGAGAGCTCAGGCGGGGCAATATTCAAGTTCCTTACTCACGCTCAAGGCGATTTTGGGACAGTACAAACACATTGGGGTTGTAGGAGTGTGGAAGGAACTCTACCGCGGCTGGAGTGTTACCATAATGCGGGAAGTGCCTTTTACAATCATACAATTTCCTCTCTGGGAGTCCATGAAGGCATATAGGAAGAGAACAAGCGGAAGAGATACTGTGAACGCAGTGGAGAGCGGGCTTATGGGAAGTCTTGCGGGTGCAGTGGCGGCTGCGGCTACCACTCCTTTGGATGTGCTGAAGACGAGGATGATGTTAGAGAAGCAAAAGAAGTCGACGAAGGTTTTGTTGAAGGAGATAATAGCTACGGGTGGTCCAAAAGCATTCTTCGCGGGGATAGGTCCAAGAGTAATGTGGATCAGTATTGGAGGCGCGATATTCTTGGGTAGCTATCAATGGGCATACAATGAGCTGGCTAAGGAGGGAAAGGAATAGAAGGAAATAATACATAGGGCTAAGTTACTGGTGGGGCAAATAGTCGGATGGATTGACTCCATATAGATAGCTTGATGACCACGTAGATACCCTCTCTCTAAGAGCATGATCTCACGATCGATATGAACACAAGTGTAATATTGCCTTAATGTACCAGTAGCCTAAACAACATTCTAACGTCAGAACCAATATGAACAATTGAAGACATGCTCGGGGGCAAAGTTGTTGTTTCTCAGGAGAATTCCACCCATATACCAACCAACTAGAACAATTGTACAGACACCAAAGAGGGGCAGTGTTTAACAGTGCGTACGCTGAAACTTGACCTATTGCAAGCAAGACTACATATGCCCAACGATTTCTCACATATGGGTAACTAGGCGCTTTGAAGACTGAGTTGAAATGTTATCCACTTCCTCATCATTGCCCCAAGCTCATAAATGCATAAAGAGTATACAGCGAGGGATCAAGCCGGAAGATCCAGTATACTCCACCTCTACAGCTTTGTGGTGACATTACCTAAATTGCGAATCTATTCATTGTCATCTAGCAGATTTTATGTCCA